CTCACGCCTATAATCCCCACATTTTGGGAGGCCGAGATGGGTGGGTCATGAGGTCAAGAGATCGAGACCATCCTGGTCAACATGGTGAAACCCCGTCTCTACTAAAAATACAAAATTAGCTGGGCATGGTGGCACGTGCCTGTAGTCCCAGCTACTCAGGAGGCTGAGGCAGGAGAATTGCCTGAACCCAGGAGGCGGAGGTTGCGGTGAGCCGAGATCGCGCCATTGCACTCCAGCCTGGGTAACAAGAGCGAAACTCCGTCTCAAAAAAAAAAAAAAGAAGAAGAGAAATTCCTTTATGAGAAAATCACATGGACCATGCCCAGTGGCTCATGCCTATAATCACAGCACTTTGGGAGACTGAGCCGGTGGATCGCTTGAGGTCAGGAGTTCAAGGCCAGCCTGGCCAACATGGCAAAACCTCATCTCAACTTAAAAAAAAAAAACAAAAATTTGGCCAAACACGGTGGCTCATACCTGTAATCCCAGCACTTTGGAAGGTCAAGGTAGGCAGATCACCTGAGGTCCAGAGTTTGAGACCAGCCTGGCCAACATAGTGAAACCTCGTCTGTACTAAAAATACAAAAAATTAGCTAGGCATGGTGGCATGCACCTGTAGTCCCAGCTACTTGGGAGGCTGAGGCAGGAGAATGGCTTGAACCTGGGAGGTGGAGATTGCAGCAAGCAGAGATCTCGCCACTGCACTCCAGCCTGGGTGATGGAGTGAAACTCTGTCTCAAAACAAACAAACAAAAAACTACAAAAATTAGCCAGGCATGGTGGCAGTCACCTGTAATCCCAGCTACTCAGGGGGCTGAGGCACAAGAATCATTTGAACCCAGGAAGTGAAGGTTGCAGAGAGCCAAGATTGTGCCACTGCACTCCAGCCTGGTGCAAGAATGAGACTTCGTCCGAAGAAAGAAAAAAGAAAGAAAGAAAAAGAAAGAAAGAAAGAAAGAAAGAAAGAAAATTTATTTATTTATTTCAAGCATATGTAAAATAACCACCTTGAATCCTCACCTATTAGAGATGAAAAGGCCTTTTAAGGGTTAGTCCAACCTCCTAATTGTGTAAATAGGGCTCAAGTCAGGTGACTTGCCTGAGGCCACACAGCTGGAAGGCTGAAAAGAGAGAGCTGTACAGTCCAATCTATGGCAACTTCCCACACCCGACTATTCACATTTAAATTTAAATTTAATTAAAAAATAAAATCAGAAGCCAGTTCCTTGGTTGCACTGGCCACACTTCAAGTGCTTGATAGCCACACGTGGCAAGTGGCTCTATGGGGACAGTGCAGGTAGCAGGCCTTTCCCTCACTTCAGGGAGTTGTGTTGGCAGCTCTGGGTTAGTGGTCCCATGCTTCTGACCTGCCTGGTTTCCTTGATGGGGTGCAGCAAGAGGTCCAGCAAAACTGGGGGCAGCCATGGGTCTGTTTACCAAGTCCCCTTCTTATACTCTCCCCACATTGTCACTTGGATTTCTGATTATGTTGACCCACTTCTTACAAAATGATGAATGGGCTGAGTGTGGTGGCTCACGGCTGTAATCCCAGCACTTCTGGAGGTGGAGGCGGGTGGTCATCTGGGCTCAGGAGTTCAAGACCAGCCTGGCAAACATGGTGAAACCTCATCCCTACTAAAACACGAATTAGCCAGGTGTGGTGGTGCACACCTGTAATTCTAGCTACTCAGGAGGCTGGGACAGGAAAATCACTGGAACCTGGGAAGTGAAGGTTGCAGTGAGCCAAGATCCTGCCACTGCACTCCAGCCTGGGCAACAGAGTGAGACTCCATCTCAAAAAAACAAAAAATGAGAAAAAACAAATGATGAATGATGTCAGTAGTCCCACTTAAGAGTACCCATTTCTGTAAAAAGCACTGGGCCAGTGGCCCACTCTGTCAACCTCCAGAGAGCAGCAGCCAGGCCTTCTGGCTCAGCCAAGCATGACCAATGGCCTTGGGCTAAACATTCTGAAGCACGGAAGAAAGAAACCCACAGAAACTTCTACCAGTTGTGGCATGGCCAGGAAGCACACAGGTGGGTGTCAGGGTCTGAGTCAAGCCAGTGCTGACCATAGTCAAGCCTGTCAGTCCCCTCCTGTGTAACTGAGAGGGTCAGATACAAGGACTGATGGCCCACTCTAACATTCTCTGTGCTTACAGGGGACACATGGCCTAGTGCCTCCCAAAAGGCAGAGGGAAAAGAAATCCCTGGCCTTTAACAAAGCATAGTATTACCTGTAATTTCTCATTCTATGTCAGTGGTTTCTAATATTTAGGCGATTACAGTTCCTTTAAGTAGCTACTAAAAGCTATGAATCTTCCCCCAGAGAAACATATATGTACAGACATGTCATGTTGTGCATATCATGTCAGGCCATTGCTGGCTTTGAAGATAGAAGGGATCATGAGCTGAGGAATGAAGTCTCTAGAAGCTGGAAAAAAAATTAAAAATGCCTGTCCTCTAGGACTTCCAGAAGGACGCTTCCAGGGGACAGGGACACAGCCAGGAGCAGGCACACTGAAGAACACTCCCGCCAACAGAAGCCACACTTGCCATCCACTCGAGGTGGAAAGAACAGGTGTCCCACTCGGTCTTTTAGCCCGTCCCCCCCACTGCAAGGCCAGACAGTGCATAAAGCAGTATTGCCTTCAAAAACAGAAAATGGCAACGTCTGCAATACTACAAAACCTCAGTGAAAGGGCATTTTCAGAAACCATGTTTCTGAGGTTACTTGAATTTTGAGGTCAGCAGACAGCAATGAGACACCACTTTGGGTTTCAGTCATCCATTGCCTGTGAAGGGTGAGCATCCACTTAAACCTTTCACGACTAAGGATATGGCAGACCTTGAGGGACTTGAGTTCTGTTGAAACTCCCATTGGGGGAACTCAATAGATGCAATAGATGTCATTGTGGAAGGGGTAGAGGAGAGGGTGGAACCTCACACCCCACTATCCCCATAACTTGCCTTTAAAAGGAACAAATTAAGTCCCATGATCAGGTGGTGGTTGTGCAATTTGTCTCTTTTTCCTGACCGCTGGGATCCAGAGGCAGAGGAAGGGGATGTTTGTGAGTGTGTAGACACATTGTGTGTGTGTGTCCCTATATGAACACACAGAGCATAGGTACATGCGTTCTGGTTGACTCAGATATTTCGAAGGTAGCCAGTGTGTGAGAACATTTATGCTCTGACACATTCTTCGCAGTAAGTCTGAGTAAGGATTTCAATGTGTAACCTGCACAGATTGATCGTGAAAAAATTAAACTGACCGTAATCATGGGAGGTGGGGGACAGAGGTGGGGGAATTAATGGATGTGCCCAGGACACATTATGGTCATGTGCAAACAGAGAATGTGGCTTAAGTTTGACTCCAAGCAGTAACCGAGACTCCCATAAGAACAGAACCCTGCACTGCTGTCCTGTTATAACAATTTCTAAAACATGCAAGTTTCTAAAACATGCAATTTCTAAAACATACATGTTTCTTGTAGCCCCTGAAATAGTCTTTTTACTCTGCAGCCACTCTGCTGTTTTGATTTGGAATCACAGAACTCATACAACCTTAAGGCTGGGAAGGTCTTAGACAAGCATTTAAAGCCTTCTTTCTATGGATGCCTAGAGAGAGAGGTTCCTTGCTCAGATCGTATAGAGGCCAGGACGCTCTCACAACCCCTCCTAGACTTTCTAGGACCCTCAGAACCTACTGGATTCTTAAAACTCTTTTTAGCTTCCCAGAGATCTTAAATTGAGCAGGATTTCATAGGTTTACCCATCTGGTGCCTATACTTGACATGGGTGAGAATGTGACAGAGACCCCATGGGCCAGTCCCTAAATCCCAGGAGAAAGAGAGGGCTCCATCACCTGCTGATGTCATCAAGGCCAGGGAGACTTACTGATGAAAAGTTGGAAAAGAAAAACAGAAAACTCATAGTACACACCACAAAAAGTGCAGGGACAACCCCAGAGGCCGGACCATCTGGGTCGAACCACTGCAAACCTAGGTCCTGGGACACCAAATCCAAAAGGGAAACTCGGACGCTCTGTTGACACATTCGGTGCTGTGGAGAAGAATGGCTTTTCTGGATTCCCACCTATGGCGGGAGTAACTCAGCTTTTGAAAAGGGAAGCACATATATTTACAGCTGTGAGGGAACCATTTCCTATGGCTCTGCCTTTTGCGGGGCTGTAACAAAGCCAAGTGGTAGAATAACCCACCTGTTTGGGTAACGCCCCACTTCACCCAGCACGGTGTTGGTGGAGGCTACAGAGATTCCGTCACAGAGGAGCTCAGCCAAGACAGGCAGATAACAACTTGGGCGTGAGGCTGGAATTCCCGAAGCCCACAAAAATGCCAACATGCGAATGTTCACCCAGCCGAATCTGCAGCTCAGGACGTCACAAACAAATCTCTCAAACTTAACAAGGGAACCGCAACACTGCCTCCCCAGCAACCCCAGCAGAGGGCTTCCAGCACACTGCAAGCACACCTGCCCATCTGATGCTCCGAACGTCGACAGAGTAGAAGAGATATTTGCGGGCCTCTTTCACAGAAGAGGAAATGAGTGCTGCAGCTTTCCCAGAGTCACGCAGCTGGTTAGGGACAGACTCCCAACCAAAACCACATCTGTCAACACCTGACCCAGGGAGCCTCCCTCATTACCACACCTTCCCCAAAAGAAGGCTCTTCCTCTGGGTTATGGTCATAACAACTACGATTGTTGAAATTACTCTGTGTCAGGCGTTGTCCTGGGCATTTTGTGCACAAAAACCCTCTATGGAGGTTTCATCCCCACCGTATGGATGGAGAAAATGAGGCTCAGAGAGGTTAAGTGACTCGCTTAATGCCACACAGCAACGATGAGTTGGCACAGGGATTCAAAGCCTGATCCATTGTCCCCAAAGCTCTTGGGACCAAACCACAGAGAAGAGGGACAGTTCTCAGGGCTCCTGTAAGAGAGGCCTCCCCGGCCCCAGCTGCAGGACGAACGGAAGCTACCTCATCGCCACGTTGCTGCCATCAATCACTATGGGTCGCAGGGAATTGGCCAGGCCTCTGATGTCCTCTTCCAGGGCTTCTCCCGGGCCCCGTTGTGCGGAATCCGGGACCCCACAGGAGCCCCGAGGCACTAGCCTGGGTGCAGCCGGGTGCTCCAGCGCCCCCGGGCGGCTGCCCGTGCGGATAAGCTCCTGCAGCACGTCGTTGACCAGGGCGCCCTCGCCCAGCTTGCCCAGCACCCGGAGCACGTCCTCCCGGTCGTAGCCCAGCTTCTGGAAGAACTCCATCTTGCTGGGATGCTCCATACTGTGCCCAGCAGCCACTGGCGCAGGTCCTGCCCCAGGCTTCCTCCTCTCAGAGCCCTGCAGGCATGAGCTAAAGAGAAAAAAGGCATCCATCAGGTGTTTCCTGGGCAGACTGGGACAAGAGCAAGGGATGCCTGCGCTGGCTCCCTCCTGGCCCTGCTGTCAGGATTCAGGTGGAGCCCAGTCTGCTTGGGGATTTTCAGCTGCTCAGTGTGGCTGCGGACCTGCAGAGGCAATCATGCTGCTTTCACAGTTCGCTGTCTGAGGCCTTCACCTCACACTGCCTGGCAGGGAACCCCGACCACACACCAGGGCTGCAGGGGCTGAGCATGCACCCAGCACTCGGGACAGGCCAGGCACCACCTGAAACCATGAAACTGACCCCAGGGGCACCGGCCCCTTCTAACTGCCAAATCCAACAGCATTTTCACAGTCCTCGCCTTATGCAACCTCTCTGCAGCTTTTGAAACTGGGAACCACGCCTTGTTATTTTACATTAAAAAAGTATAGACTGCCCTTTCTTGAAACTATCTGCTCCCTTAGGCTGTATGACTCGGCCTGATTCTCCTCCTAAGTTGGTCCAGCTCTTTCCCCTCTCCTTCAGTGTTGGGGTGCCGCCCAGGCCCTCCACCAGCCCCTGTATTCTGATGGGCCCCACAACTGCATGTATGGCTCACACCTCCCACCAATCACCAGGCTCAGTTGTAAGTCTGGGAGATAAACGCCGTGCATGCTATTTAAATTAAGTGCTGTGGGAACTCAGAATGCTGTCATTCAACAGACATTTGCTAAGTGACTACTTCAGTGGTTCCCAAAGTGTGATTTAGGGAAGCCTGGGGGACTCCAAGATTTTTTCAGGGCATCTTCAAAGTAAAAACTAGTTTTAGGCTGGGCACAGTGGCTCACACCTGTAATCCCAGCACTTTGGAAGGCCGAGGCAGGCAGATCATGAGGTCAGGAGTCAGAGACCAACCTGGGCAACATAGTAAAACCCCATCTCTACTAAAAACACAAAAATTATCCAGGCATGGTGGTGCGCACCTGTAGTCCCAGCTACTCAGGAGACTGAGGCAGGAGAATCACTTGAACCCAGGAGGTGGAGGTTGCAGTGAGCCGAGATCACACCACTGCACTCCAGCCTGGGCAATAGAGCAAGACTCCATCTCAAAAACAAAAAACAAAAAACAAAAAGAAAAACCCTATTTTTATAATAATGCTAAGATGTGATTTGTGTGCTTAACTCCTATCCTCTCCTAAGGATACAACAGAATATTCCAGAGACTACATGTCGTGCGATACTGCAGCAGCTTGAATGCAGAAGCAGGTATGAGAATCCAGCTGTCTCCTATTAACCCAGACATTAAACAGATTTGCAGAAATATGAATCAGTGCCACGCTTCTTACTAATTTTTTTTGTTTTGGAAAATAAAGTTATTTTTCATGAAGATATGTCATGATGTCAGTGTAATTGGTTTATTATTATGTAAAAATAAACACATTTTTTCAAGTTCTTAGTTTTTTGTTTCTAATAAAGTACATAAACAAAGGCTCTGTGGGACCTTTAATAATTTTTAAGAGTATAAAGGGGTTCTGAAACTAAAAAGTTTCTTCTTAAATCTAGAGCTGTTCCAACAGGTATTTCCATGTAGCCGGCTCCACGCAGGTGACCTATAGACACATCCTCCTTCTCCCAGGGCGCCAGTACAGAACGTCCAGTTCTTTACTCCCTCAATCTGGCCCTCTCAGGTCTACCTCCTACGGTCCCCCTGCCCCACCCACGCCTCAGTCCTGCCATCTTCATCCCACACCCCATGACTGCAGCAGCCTCCATCTACCTTGTAGCCACCACTGTATTTCTAAAATGAGTCTGAACATGTTAGCCACCTACTTAGAAATCTCCTCATTGGCTACAAGAAAGACACCAAATTCCTAGGCAGGCTGCTGAGCTTGTCACAAAGTAGCCCTGATGCTGTCTACCTCACTGCCCATCCTAGCCCACCTGACCCCTTCTCTAGAGCCTTGCTGAACATTTCCCTGTCCCCAGGCATTCCAAAATGTTCTCACACCAAGCATGGTGGCTCCTGCCTGTAATCCTTGCACTTTGGGAAGCCGAGGTAGGAGGATTGCCTGAGGCCAGGAGTTCAAAAACAGCCTGGACAACATAGTGAGACCCCATCTTTATAAAAAATTTAAAAAGTTGTCTGGGCATGGTGGTGTGTGCCTAAAGTCCCAGCTACTTAGGAGGCTGAGACAGGAGGATTACTTGACCCCAGGAGGTCGAGGCTGCAGTGAGCTGTGATCACACCACTGCACCCCAGCCTGGGTGACAGAGCAAGCTCCTGCCTCTTAAAAAATAAAACTAAACTTAAAAAACAAACAGGCCAGGTGCAGTGGATCACACCTGTAATCCCAGCACTTTGGGAGGCCAAGGCAGGTGGATCACGAGGTCAAGAGTTCAAGACCAGCCTGGCCAAGATGGTGAAACCCCGTCTCTACTAAAAATTACAAAAAAAAAAATTAGCCAGGTGACGTGGCATGCACCTGTAATCCCAGCTACTCAAGAGGCTGAGGCAGGAGAATTTCTTGAACCCAGGAGGTAGAGGTTGCAGTGAGCTAAAATCATGTCACTGCACTCCAGGCTGGGTGACAGAGAGAGACTCTGTCTTTAAAAACGAAAAAACAAACATACAAAAAACCAGAATGTTCTCAGCACTGTGTTTCTGAATATGTTTTCCTCTCTACCTGGAAGGCTCTTTTTGTCTTGGAAAACATCAAGATTCAGCTCGGATGTTATTCAGAGCAGTCATCCCTGAGCCTACAGACAGAATGAGCAGTTCGGCCATCTCATCTACTACAGTACTTTGCTCACTGTCTTATGACACAGTGAATTATCATTCATCTGTTTCTCAAGAGGCTGAGTTACTCAGGTATCCTGACCTATTGCCTCAGAATCACCAGCACCAGCATGAAGCCTAGTATATCTGAGGAGTTCACCTAGCACCAGCATGATGCCTAGTATATCTGAGGAGTTCAACGGATTTTTTTTTAATTTTTAGAAACGGGGTCTCACTATGTTGCCCAACCTGAACTTGAACTCCTGGGCTCAAGTGATCCTGCTACCTTAGCCTACTAAGTAGCCGGACCACAGGTGTGTGCCACCACACCCTAATAGATTTCTAAAAGTAAATGTCCAAAGCTAAATTTATCTTCTCTCCTCAAATATTTTTTTTCTTGGGCTTCCCATCTCACTGAATGGCATCCCCCAGAGGCCCAAAGATGAAATCTCAAAGTCCCCTTTCACTTCTCGCTTTTCCTCACCTCTACATCCCATCGGTCAATAATCCTGCTTCCCCGACGCTTTCCATAATCACCCTGCTTCTTACACTCACACCTAGTTCCTCCCCTTACACTCACATGTTCCTCCCCTTTACACGCACACCATTTACACGCACACCATTTACACGCACACCATTTACACGCACACCATTTACACGCACGCATTTACACGCACACCATTTACACGCACGCATTTACACGCACACCATTTACACACACCGTTTACACTCACACCATTTACACGCACACCGTTTACACTCACACCATTTACACGCACACCATTTACACGCACACCGTTTACACGCACACCATTTACATTCACAGCACCACCCTAGTTCATTCACTCCTTTGTGTAGCAAACATTTGCCACTCACCAACTCAACACCAGCACTGTGCTGCATCCCAGCTCTATGAAAACAAAATAAGACAACCCAATGTCAAGTCATTCACAATCAATTCAAGAAAACAGACAGAAAATGTAAACAATGAGCCATAAATCATGAAGATAAGCACATACTTTTAATTAGAAAAATGTGCTTTCAAATGTGGTCTATATATATATCATAGAATACTATGCAGACATAAAAAAGAATAACATCATGTCCTTTGCAGCAACATGGTTGGAGCTGGAGGTCATTATCCTAAGTTCATTAATGCAGGAACAGAAAACCAAATAGCACATGTTCTCAATTGTAAGTGGGAGTGAAACTCTGAGTACACGTGAGGACAAAGAAGAGAACGTAGATACCAGACCCTACTTGAGGATGGAGGGCAGGAGGGGGGCGAGGACTGAAAAACCACCTATCGGGTACTAAGCTCATTACCTGGGTAACAAAATAATCTGTACACCCAACTCCCACCACATGTAATTTACCCATGTAACAAACGTGCACACGTGCCCTTGCACCTAAAATAAAAATTGGAACCTGGGCATGGTGGCTCATGACTGCAATCCCAGCACTTTGGGAGGCCTAGGTGAGTGAATCACTTGAGCCCAGGAGTTCAAGATCAACCTGGACAACATGGCAAAACCCCAACTCTACAAAAAATAAAAAATTAGTTGGGCGTGTTGACTCACACCTATAGCCTCAGCTACTCAGGAGGCTGAAGTGGAAGGATTGATCGAGCCTGGGAGTTAAAGGCTACGGTGAGCCATGATTGTGCCCCTGCATTCCAGCCTGGGCAGCAGAGCAAGACCCTGTCTCAAAAAAATAACATAAGAAAGAAAGAAAAATGTGCTATCAAAATACAGGTGAGGATACGGTCAGGAGTTCGAAACCAGCTTAAACAACATGGAGAAACCTCATCTCTGCTAAAAATACAAAACTAGCCATACATGGTGGCACATGCCTGCAATCCCAGCTACTCAGGAGGCTGAAGCAGGAAAATCAATTGAATCTGGGAGGCGGAGGTTGCAGTGAGCCAAGATCGCACGATTACACTCCAGCTTGGGCAACAAAAGTGAAATTCTGTCTCAAAAGAAGTAAATAAATAGAAGGTGAGGAATGTCTTCCTCTGAGGGGCAGGGGAAGGCCAAAGAACTGTTGGAGAGAAGTGAACTGCACAGTGAAGGGAGACTGGCTCTTCCAGGGGACAAAGGGCCCTGTCATGCTCCACACTATCATCACCATGGGGCCCAACCCACCCACAGGCTCTTGGCCACCTGCCACCAGCCCAGCTTCACCTCCTCCCTGACTGGCGACCAATCCTT